GTTTCATCTCAGAGGGTGTAAGAATTTTGTCTTTAGGAGTTAAAGCTTTTTCCTCTTTCTCAGGCGATTTCTCCTTTTCTGTAATTTCGTCAGGCTTAAGTTTTATCTCAGAGGGTTTTTCGGGTGTAGGAGTTTTGTCCTTAGGAGTTAAAGCCTTTTCTTCTTTCAATATTACTTCCTTCTCAGGCGATTTCTCCTTTTCAGAAATTTTATCAGGCTTGAGTTTTATCTCAGAGGGTTTTTCGGGTGTAGGAGTTTTGTCCTTAGGAGTTAAAGCCTTTTCTTCTTTCAATATTACTTCCTTTTCAGGCGATTTCTCCTTTTCAGTAATTTCATCAGGTGTAAGTTTTATCTCAGAAGGTTTTTCGGGTGTAGGAGTTTTGTCTTTAGGAGTTAAAGCCTTTTCTTCTTTCTCAGGCGATTTCTGCTTTTCAGTAATTTCATCAGGCTTGAGTTTTATCTCAGAAGGTTTTTCGGGTGTAGGAGTTTTGTCTTTAGGAGTTAAAGCCTTTTCTTCTTTCAGTACTTCTTCTTTCTCAGGCGATTTCTCCTTTTCAGTAATTTCATCAGGCTTGAGTTTTATCTCAGAGGGTTTTTCGTGTGTAGGAGTTTTGTCTTTAGGAGTTAAAGCCTTTTCTTCTTTCAATATTACTTCCTTCTCAGGTGATTCCACCTTTTCCGTAATTTCGTCAGGTTTGAGTTTTACCTCAGAAAGTTTTTTGGGTGTAGGAGTTTTGTCTTTAGGTGAAAAAGCCTCTATTTTTTTCGTTATTACTTTCTCATGCTTAGTTTCCGTAATTTCGTGTTTCGTATTAGTAATTTCTTCGAATGTCTTTTCCAACACATTTCCTGATAGCTCTTTTCTTTCAGTTGCCACTTGAAGGAGTGTTTCATTTTCTTTTAAAACCTTATCATTCAATTTTGTGCTTTTCATGATATTCTCAATTTGTAGTTGTTCTTCAGAACTGGTTGTTTTCTCTTCTAATATGGATTTTGTTTTAACGTTTGATTTTTCATTTTTCTCTTCCTGAATCGTTGTGTCTTTTAAATAGATATCATTTTTAAACATTTGTTTCTCGTCAAAATTGTCAAAATTTGATGAGGACCTAATTTGCATTTGTGACTGGTTTATCAGTTGTTTTCTCTGCTTTATATCAGACACTTCATACTCCTCTACCATTTTGGCAATTAAATTTTTACTATCGCAAGAAAACTTGACTGTGTCCGGTTTTTCTTTTTCCTCAGACTGATCTAACTTTTCTGTTTCTTTTTGGTAGTCGGTATCTGTCATTGGCAATTCCCTTCCTACCGCATGTAGAATTTTCACTTCTTTCACTGGTGAAAGTAAATGCACATCACCAGAAATTTGACGTGTTTTGCGACGAATCTCCTTTTTTACAGTACCTACCTCGTCTTCACCGAACATATCATCATAGACATAATCAACATCATTAGCATCCACAACATTATTCATTTCACTAGTTTTTTGCACTTGCTTTACATGACCTTCTTCTTCAATCTGTTCCAAATCCCTAATGTGATCCATGGATGATGAACTTACAATCGAAATCAACTGTCCTTCAGGAGTCGGAGTCAAATCCGGTTTCAGTTCTTTAACTTCCGCTCTGATTTGCATCGTGGCTTCTAAAACTTCAGACATAAGCTTCTGAACTTGTCTTTCACTAATTCTCGGAATCCTCTCTTTTGTATCCAACTGCAGTGACTTTTTATTCGCTTCCATTTCCTTCTTCATTCTCTGCTGCAAAATCTCCTTTTCCAACTCCTCACTCACTTCAACCTGAGATATAACCTCGTCTAATTTCGTAGGCTCTGCCTCCAACACCTGCGGAGGTAAAGCAATAGTCGTGAGCAATTTCGCGTTTGCAACCAACGCTTCCTTAATTATATGACTTTCAGAAAGAGGTTCCTCGCCTTGTGGCTTAGACTCACAAATGCACGGCTCCTCACACACTTCTAAACTTTGCCCACTTATACTTTCAATAATCTCAGCTTGGGTCTTGAAAACATTTTCCATTTCTTTCGCGACTTTACTCTCTACAACTGACGATTCAGTTTCAATTTCTTGGGTCAAAGGTGACGGTGTTTTGTGTTCAATTATGATTTTTTCGCACGGTGGCTCACAGACAGGAACGGGGAATGTCGACTTCTCCCCTTGAAAAGTTTGTGAGAGTTCTTTAATACGTCTCCTAGGACTAGTTTTCTGTTCCACCACAATTTCTTCCTCAATTCTTCGTGCACATTCGCTTAATTCTTTCTCAGTGTAAGGCCGTTCATGTGGTACTGTTTTTTTGGGAGTACCTTCCTGAGATTTTGAGATTAGTTCCTCAAACAAAGCTCGTTTGTCTCTCACTGATTTCGATTCAATTTCTTCAGACTTGTCCGAAGTATCAAAGCCGTTGGCTATGACTTTAGACCCACTCACGGGTTCTGTTTCAGTCTTGACTTTTTCTTCCTTAGTGACAATTTCAATTTTCTCCCGAATTTTACCCGACTTGTGCGTTTGCTTAGACACATCATCATCTTCCAAGTCACTAGAACCTGAGAAAATTTTCTGCAGTTCTGCTATTTTGCGACCTACATGTTTCGTATGTTTTGTCTTTAAATCGATTTCTTCGGATACGGTTTCAGTCTTGTCGTAATCGTCATCAATTTGAGCTAAAGTCTCATTCGAACCCTTGTAGTCTTCATCCTTCATACTACTTATTTCATCTTCAGAATCCAAAACCTCCTTTTTGCGTTTAATAACATGACTCGGCGATTTTATAGTTTGCTCTAGAAGTTTAACTTTGGCTTTAACATCACCTGACCCTCTCCGACTCTTCAAAATTTCTTCATCTTTAATTTTATCCGAGAGTGAAGGTGGGCTTTCTTCCGGTTTGATGGGACTACTGGATGCATCTTTCGTATCAACTTGATCGGTAAGAGTACCCGCTTCGGATGTATCAACCTGCGACAAAGCAATAGATGCCGATTCGGGAAATTCGATAGGACTTGTGTTAGCGTCGACGAAATGGACTTCTTCCTCAAAATAAGGTTCTTGAGGGAGACTTTCGTCGGCTTGGATCGGACTCAAACCGGCGTCAGTGCATTCGCACTCTTCCAATTCAACATCTACTGCAGTGTCTGATACAAACCCTGTCGTCTGTAATCCATGTAGTACATCAGGAGGTTTAGAAACTGGACTTGTCATAGTTTCGGTAGTTCCCCGAGTTAGTGAAATCCCTGTATCGGTCACGTGATGCGAAAAACTTTCAGTACCTACAGAACCTTGAGAATCGTCTTTTTCAGTCGAATTGTCATAAGTGTAGATCAGTTTCGTACCGCTGAAATTTACAGTTTCTTCGCGTTTCTTTTGAACGGTTTCGATAGCCGGTGGTGGGATAATATATTTATCTTTTTCCTCCGATTTTCTCCCCTTTTCAGTGGTGTTAGAAACACCAACGTCTACAGTTTCGCAAGTTTCGACCCCTGATTCGTCGCGTCGAGTCGTCGTGACCGAAATGTGTGACTGCGACTTTATCGAAATTTCAACGTCGTTAGTACCATACAGTGTAAGTCGACTTTCGGCCGTAGCTGAGGCTTCTTTGGTCCGGACTTCTTTCCGGCCAATCACAAGTTCTAGTGTGGGAGTGGGATGGGGTTTGGGTGTGGTTTCGGGAGTGGGGGCGATTTCTTTATTCGTCAGTGGTGATGTACTCCTGCTGACCTGATTCGCATACTCCTCGTTCCTACTTTCAGAATAAACTACTGCAATTTTTTTATCAGGAGTTGTTTTAATTCGAAATTCTTCTTCGTTAGGAGGTATCTTGCCTTTGCCTCCTCCTCCATGCAATCTTTCAACAGTCTTTCTCTCTTTTCGTTCCCAGTCTTCTGGTTTTTTCGAATCTTTAGCACCTTTCTCTTCTGGCGATTGGAAGCCTTTGATTTTCAACTCGCCCGGTCGTAAAACAGGATCGGATTCGCTATATCTACACACACGAGCAATATCACGATTGGAAGGCAGATTATTGTCAATGGAAGGATTAGAAGCGTCAACGTCTAAATCTTCCGTTGATGCTAGACGCTTGCGCGTGCCGGAGAATAATTTCGCTTGATGTTGGTAATACTGACGGATGTCGTCGTATGGAGTTACTTCTTCCAAGTCGATATCTCCGGTTCGATAGTTCGATAAGTAGTCTTTGCCCTCGATCGAGGTGTCTTCACCCGGAGTTGGGGTTTCTAACAGACATTGGTCTTCGCGGAAGCCGTCAGTGTCCAGCGAGTCGTCGTCGTCTTGCGGCGACGCCGATGCTGCTGTCGCAAGGAATTAAAATAAAAGGATCGGTGGATAAAACAGTGTTAAATCTGTTCCAAGTGCAACAGGATTCAAATTTTGGCTTTTTCGCTAATTTATTTCAGAAAATAAATCATAGCAAGAGGCACCGCCTCGACTCCCATACATAAGAAACTATGAGATGAGTAGCGGAAGAAGATGTGTTTTCAGATGGAGTGAGGAAGAGGAGAAAGGAAACGACAGCTAAATATTCGAATATAAAAGCCGGCTAAGGCATTCCGCATTTCCATAAGCTTTCTACTATGGTTATCTTAATATTAAGAGTCTCAGAGTAATATAAACAGCAGAATTCCGAAAGCAGAGATGCCAACAATATAACAAGTTAAAAATGCCCAAACTAGCAAACGAGAGCTCGGAACATATTAAATAAAACGTTTCGTATTTAATTAGTCCGAATGCATCTCCCAAAAAAAATTAAATCTAACCAAAATCACTAACCTTTGTATAGCCTTTGCTACACGAAGCCCGAGGCCGCGAAAAGACCCAAATGACATAAACTCTTTCCCCCACTACCATTTCTCGACAAATCAAACAATTTCGAAACGAAAAAACAAAAACGAGAAGTGGCAGAGGTGAACATGCACAGTATGTACAATTAATTTTAGTCCCTAACAGATTATGGAGTTTGCATTATGGTTCACCAAGCCAACATACAGGACAAGTCTGGACGGATTGCGTGACAAAAGGAGGATGTCTATGGACGATTCTTAACAAATCTCTCTTCAAAATACTCCACAATTATTTACAAAATCGAGAATTTTGAAAAGAGTGAATTATGTCTTTCTCTGAAACAATAATGGATGTAGTGTGTATGAAATGGTAACACAGGAAACACTTTTAGCTGTATTATGAAAAACTAAAAGTAGTCAAAATTTTTATTCGTTTTGATTTGATTTATTAACACCATTAAATATGCATTTACAATTAATTGTACAAAAAAAAAACGGTTACAAGGTTATTTACAAAATATACAAAACTCAAAACCAAAATCTTTTTTCCCAATACAACTAAATGGTTCCGTTCAAAAACCGACACCACTGGTGTTAAACTGATCAAAACATTCCAAAAAACTTTGTTTTAGAATACACTGTACATTTTCACCAGTAATGTTGATCTTTTTGCGATGAATTCCAAAAGATTCACACATTGACACGCTCCGAATGACATTTTTACGAGTTATAGAAGTTATTGTTTGGTCCTCGAAACCCAAAAGCCATGCGGCATGAAGTGTGAATTTCTACAATTGGCAAAAAATCGAAAAACAAAGACATAATTAAGCTGCATTRGCTATTTACAAAGGCTTGGCAKGAAAGCATTTGTGTGTGTTATGAAAGCAAGAAAAAAAACAAAAAAAAAACGGAAACATGATCAAAAAGCAAAACAGTGACGCCCACACAGATGATTTATTTTCTGCAATATTTGTTAAGTCGAAGGGGCCAATCGTATTAATCGTCCTTTAATTATCTTCTAGTTAATATTGTTTAGTATAGGCGGAAGCTTGTTGCACCAAAGCATTGTTGCACATTCAGTAATGTATTAGACTTTTGTTAGTTAGTTAATTCAGTGTGTTGTCGAGACGAATGAGACGATTTTTGTAAATTGTCGCATTTGTCTCAAAAATATAAAGGTGGGTGGGGTTACACGGATAGGTAGGTTCAGGAAGTCAGTTTAAATTTGTAATAAACAATATTTCATCACAGTTTTAAATAAAAAAAGCATAACATTTGTTTCTACRAACATAAATATCTATGGTTCAACCAACTGCAAACTCCATGTTAATGTGGCATATCAATAGGATACGTGGTGTTATTAAAATTTGTTATAAATTGTATAAAAGTTAATACTCACCTCCGCTGAAATAAAAAAATTAGAAGTAAAACAAACCGACAACACGGAAAGTCGCGTCAAACTGGATAAATTCTTACAAGAGATACGGTTTATGATCTAAATCGAATTAGAAACCATACGATATCCAAGGATCAAAAATTGTCAAGCTAAAAGTATCGGTTTCAGATCGCTCTGATTTCAATCGACACGCTTCAATAAGAAAGAAAGAATAAAAAATCAAATGTTTACATCAATTTTGCTACAAAATATTTTTTCGCAAAACCGAATTGTCTCAGACTTTTCCAAGTAGTTTCAATTATAGAAAAGATTATCTGTTTTTCAAAGTCTTCCCGTCCGACCTCGTTATATTATTGAGCGTCATAATCCGGTTAAATTTTCATCATTGATATGCCACATTTTTGTACATGAAATATTCTTTTTAGTTTCAATTTTGTGACTATTTTAGTTCTATTGAATATTTCTTGCACAAGTCAACTAATAAGCGCTGCTTAAAATTCAAGCAAGGTGTCTTGGTAATAATTCTATACTCTTACCTTGGATTGCGGCTGCCTGTTCTCGAGTCAGGAAGTCGGCTGGACTCGGTGGTGGAGTCTTTGACACTTTCGGGGATTTGGGATCTGAAAAGTCGAGAAGATGGTCTAAATGGGCACACAGAGAAAGAAGCACTTTTCTGATTWTTGTGTAACAGCAATAAAATAAAAACATATAAATCGCACATGACCAGATTGACAGAAACGTCACTGACATGGTGTATGARATTGTCATCTTTTTTTAATGAAAGTTTTCACAACCAAAAATTTAAAAAATGTTCAACCTGATCAAAAAACTGAAGATAAAATTAAAAATGTCCTACCTTCTGTTGAGGCAATTTTCGTCATCATCGTCTTTGTACTTTCGAACCTTTGGGTGACACCCTCCAACAAGGCTGAATCCCTCCTTTCCCTCTCTCCATCCACTTGCGTCTTTTCAACCGTCGGCGAAGTCGTCAACTCGTTCGATGTTTTTGTGGTTTTTCCGTCGACGACTTCTACGGCTTTCTGCTCGACTTCGGCTATTTTATTCTCGACCAAACTCTGTCGTTTGATAGAACTGATTTCCTGGACAATTTCGACACGTTGCGAAGACGCCGGAACGGTTCTATCGACAGAAAGTCGTTCCTCGATCAGTTGTCGCCTTTCCGTCACCGTCTTGTTYAAATCTTCTTCATCAGACGTCTCCTCCACGACCTTCTCTTCGGCTGAGTACTTATCGAAATTTTCTTTCTTTTTCTCCTCTTCGGCTTTTTTGAGAGACTCGACACTTTCAGAGTCTCTCATTATGTCTCTCTCGTAGAGATTCTGTTCTATACTAATTTTCTTTATCAGTCTCTGTTTTCCTATCTCCTTGATCCCGTGAGCCGGATATTCGACGTTTAGGCACTGAGGTATGATGTCCTCTCTTCCTATCCTCCTAAGCGCACTTTCTAAAGTGTTGGTCTGGGCTTTGTTGCCGGATTGGGAAAGCCACATTCGCAACATAGATTGGGCCTGTTTGGCCACGCTGTCCGGGTATTCGGATTTGATAACGTTGATTTCAGAGGTCGTCAGACCCAACTGGGACGCCAGAGGTACCCAGTCTTCGCCCAGGAGGTTGCTCATYTCGGCCAATCGTGGATCCGGTCTGTAGTAATCGAAATTRTCAATTTTCTTCACAGAGTCCGAATCCGTCAAGGAGATGGTGTCCACCACGATATCATCCGGCAGTACAATGTTCAAAATACAAATAGGTTGTTGAGGAGGCTCCCCTTTGGGCAACTTTGGTTCTCGCATAAAAAGACACCGACTGACGGCTTCCGCATGTTGGTCTTTGACCCTCACCGAGAARGGAAGCCGATTTTCCCTAAACGCTCTGAAGGAYAACTGGAGTTGCTCGCCACTCTTGGTGATGGGCACCAAGTTACCGGCGAACTCGATGTACTGTGGCTTACCCTCGAGCACCTCCACGTCGCGACTCTTCGCCACTTCGGTGAAGTGCTCTTGGTGCTCAAGAGTCTTGTCCTCTTTGTCGTCAGTCATGCAAAAGACGCGCAATCGCGCCTCTAGAGGGTCCACGCGTTTTGCAAACACGACAAACTTTGCCATGAAGGGCACATGAATGGCTTCCCTACAGAAAAAAATWAGAWTTTAATTAKATTTTTGGGGATTTTTCTTGCCTGTAGAGTTCGGTTGCCATTTTAGTCGCATCTCCCACATTTCGGCAGTCCATTAGCCAAAACCGCGCCGACACTGTTGTGGTAAACGAGACGCAATCGTTGACGAAAGTCAGGGGCGTGGACCCGGTCACGTCCTCCCATTGCGCCCTCGTGGTCCCGCCTTGAAAGCAAAAATCGATTTTAATTGGACGGTTAAAGTGAGTACAGGTCGCGCCAAAACCGTCTCACCAATAAAGTGGCGGCTTTGCTCGTTCGCCCCTTCTTGACATTCACTAGAAGCATGCAACGCCCGACGCTCCTCCCAAGTAAAAATAGCAAAAAGCGTGTCACATTCAGGCACTTGATGGTTTATGACCATTTTTTTGGTAAAGTGGAAGCAAATGCAGTGGTTTGAAGCGGCAAAAAGCAAAGCATTCATACGAACGGTTTCAGAAAAGACCAGTCGCGTGGCAACTAACTTCCGGTTCAAATAAAACTTATCGGAGAGTAGTGTTTTGAGGTTTTTTACGACTGATCTGACGCTTTATGTTAGGGTTTTTGTCATAAAATATAATAGAAAAATTGTCGGTTTGAAAATAATAAAAGAAAATCAAATGAAATGCAGCAAATCTAGATAAGGTGAAAATTGCGATTCGTGTTTTAGTGAAATTTTCATAACAAAAATCAATGAAAAAAATTTTTAACGACTAAAAGGCAAAAGAAACAATTCGTAAGTCTTTAAATTTCATAAAAAGACGTGGATGCGCACGATTTCCCAACTCAAATTGGTCAAAAAAGAAAATTCGTTGCCAAATCGTACACGTCCCTCGTTCACATTCCTATAAAATTAATGTTTCGATTGATGAAACAGAAACGAAATAAACTGTTTAAAAAAATATATAGATATAGATATACATTCTAAAAGGGGGGCAGCCCACAATATATGTAGTTAGTTACCTTTGAGAGATCTTTTCCGAAACACCCCTGGACACGCGCGTGAAATATCAATAATTAGCGGATTAGTTTGGGTGTTTGAATCACAACATGTGACGTCATCATGACGAAATACACGATAAATTAGCAACGCGATTCTTAGGATGCTGGAAAACTCAGTTGTGACGACGTCACAATGACGTCAGCTGGAAAATTACGAGGCTGGCAAACTTTTCAACGTTGTTGCGATTCGTGTGGACCGATTTGCCTCCCACAAGCCCACCTTGACCTAATTTGTACATTGATAACGGCCCAAGGAACACAATCATACCAATCTGCATCTGTCGATTGMCAGAAACATCTAAGTTCCTTACTCATATTTGAGCACTTTTTCTTTCCAAACAACAAATTTTTCACTAAAACATTCTTTTTGTAAAAGATTTCAAATAAAGTTTAGATTAGAATCAGAAAATTCAGTTGCGATGTTATCATTTCCTCTATAGGTTGAAAATGGGTGTGATTAGTTGGTTTTTGTTCTTTTT